TAACTAAATATCAATCTCTGAAAAATCATGCAAAGAAGCTATTGCTAAATATGAATTATATGTGAGTGAACACAGCAATTTTAATAAGGATTATCAAGAGTTCAAGAATATTTTACTGAATAATCAAGCAGAGCTGAATCAACTAAATGAGATTGTAGGAAGCATGGCAATTTTGCAAGACCGACAAAACAAAATTCGACAACTTTCTGAGGGAAGATTAAATGATATAACAACATTTGATTTGCTCATGGAACGTGGAGAAAAACTATACGCACATACCAGTCCTGATGGTCGTGAAATAATTCGACAGCAATTAAGATCATTGCGATTATTGTGGGATACCTTCACAGATGACTTAAATAACGGTAGCCAAAAATTAGATAATTGTTTGTTACAACTTAGTGATTATTACTGCTTCGCAAGAGCAATTAGCGAAATGGTGGCAGAGGCAGAGAAAGCTATGCAGCAGCATACTGAACTTAAAGCTTCACTTCCTGAGAAAAAAGCACAATTACAGAATCATACAATAATGCATCAAGAAATTCTAGCTCATCAACAATTGGTGGAATCTGTATGTGATAAAGCACAACATCTCGTAAATCAAACAAAGGATACTTCGCTTAATATTTATATTAATTCAATTAAACAATGTTTCCAAAATATTCTTGAGAGATCAGAAAGTTTATTGACCGGTTGGGAGATGTGTTTTCTGAACATGATAAATTACTAATCGAGTTTAAAAAATTCAAAGATTGGTTGGCACATGAAACTGAAAAATTAAATGAATGCGATACATAAAAGGAGAAAAATCGGAGCTTTCTAAACGGTTGGGCATGTGAAAAATTTAGATGAAAATAAAGCAAATGGATTTGAGTTATTACAAAAATTGCAAAAAGAATACTTGCTTGTAAATAAATGGACATCGCCTAAAGGAAATGAATAATTGAAAAGGAGATTGAGGACTTAGAAAGTCAATTACAACACACACATGCAAAGAAATAAAGAAAATTCAAGAAAAATACTTGATGCAGAAAAACGATGGTACGACTTTGATAGCGGTCTTGAAGAATTTACTAAATGGTGCAGGGAGATTGAAGTTGTGCTGCGTGATCAGCCATTACAGGCAACTCTTCAGGAAAAGGAAAAGCAACTTGATTATTTCAAAAAATCAACGCGATGTAGTACTGGGAAAAGAAAAAGTAATTGATAATTTGTCGATAAATCAAATTCATTATTAACTCAAGCGGTACTGAAAGAATTAAACCACTAATTTCGCAAATTAGTAACAGATATCAATTACTTCATGTGATGAGTAAAGAGGTGATAAATAGATGGAATAATCTTGTTGATAGTCATAAAAAGTATGTAGACAAATTGGACGAAGCTAAAAAATGGTTGGAGCCACTCGAAAAACATTTGGTTGATTTAAATAATGATTTATCTAAAGCTGATGTGCAGAACAACAAATTACAGCTATTACTTGCCGAAAAAGAACAGGCAGAACCTATGCTTGCTGCTGGTTACACTTGCTGGTGAACGATATATCCTGATACTTCTTCGCAGGGACGCGAAATTATACGATCTGAATTGAGGAATTTGCGCGATCGCTGGGATAAGCTGAACGAAGGCATTAAGGAACATCAAAAACTACAGGAAGCCCATACAGTGCAATGGTCCAGCTACAATGATTTAATGCAACAAGTATTGGCCTGGTTAGACTCTATGGAGAAAATTGTTCAAGGCGAAACTGGAACGGGATCTTCCTCTAGCCAAGAACTGAAAGCTAAACTTTCAAAGTATAAAGCAAATTTGCAAGAAATTTTAACTCACAAACGGCTTATCGAAACTGTCACGGACAAAGCGGGCAACGTGGTGAGCTCTTTACAAGCAAATGATCCTGCTAAAAGCGAAATCAATAATGCTGTTAAAAATATCAATAGCCGTTACGAAAACTTAAATAAAACTTGCCAAGACACTATTACTCAGTTGGAGAATCTTCTTGATATGTACCAAAACTTTACTGATCAACAGAAGGCATTCCAAGATTATCAGAAATATTTGTGGGATCAATTGTCTAGCTATTCTGATTATTCAGGGAATAAAGCTGCACTGCAAGTGCGATTGCGCAAAATCACAGATTTACAAGATGGATTATCGGAGGGACACGAAAAATTGTCACTTCTCAATAATCATATTGAAAAATGTGCCAGTAGTTTACCAAACAGGGTAAAGGAAGGGATGGAGAGAGATTTATCAAATCTGAATTTTGATTTTGATAAATTTATTAATTCGCTTAATGACATTAAACATGAATTAGAAACAAGATTGCAACAATGGGTAGCATATGAAGCATCATTCGAAAAGTTAATTCAATGGTTAACAGATTCCGAAAATAGTCTGAAGAATTACACTCCTAAATCCAGCCTGGAGGAAAAACAAGAACAACTCGAAAAATACAAGGTAATTGAGTTTTTTATAATAATTTTTTACGGTTTATGTAGAATATGTAAACCCCTGTCCTTTTGTCAATAACATAGATTCGTTACATAATTAATACATATCCTATTTACCAGGATCTGATTAAAAAAGTAGATTCCCGAGATAGAGATTTGAAAGAGATTATTAAGTTAGCAGACAACTTAGATCAAGTAAGATGTATTATGAATAGCATTGATGTTGTATTTGATTTAGGTGGAGGGAGTAGAAATTATATAACATTAGTTACTAACTGGTAGATAGTCGATTACTGCCTTTTGATATTAATTGCCTTTACAATTGCTTTAGGTAGTCGCTGAAATACTATTAATCATATTAATATTTGTTACTCATACAACTTTGGTTTTTTATAGTCACTCACAACAAATATTCGTCAAAATGAAGCAGAATTTGATAAGATTAGTGACGATTCTACTGAGCTTATTCAAAGCAGTGGCGAATCAAGAATTTCGATAAATATACAACAGGTAGCTTCTCGGTTTCAATCAATTCAAACGACTGCTCGGGAAGTTGTCAAGAAGTGTGAACAAGCGGTCGCCGATCATGCAGACTACAATGAAAAATATAAACAGTGTTCTGAATGGCTTGCTACATCTAGAGCGAAATATGATGAATGCTGCAAGGAATTAACATCCGAAAGTCAGAATGATTTGTTAGAATTGCATCAGTCTCTAAAAGACTTACTTTCTCAACAAGGCAGCGCAACGCAATTACTTAACACAACAATTGAAATGGGCGAGAAAACATATCCGAGTACCACTTTGGAAGGTAGAGAAGTTATTCGACTTCAATTAGAAGAACTCCAATTAGCTATGGAATCACTTTATGATGGAGTCTCAAGCAAGGAGCGGGAATTACAAGCCAAGTTATCGCGATGGTCAGGAATTGAAGAATCCATGAACACAATTAAAAATTGGCTCGCTTCGACTTCAAACTCACTTTCACCAGACATAGTATTGAAAACCACATTAGACGAAAAACGTGCGCAACTGCAAGTATACAGAAATATTTTACAAGATGTTACTGCTCATAAACAAGACTTAATTGATTTGCGTGATAAAGTTCAAGATCTCCCAGAGCAAGATAAAGCCATTGTTCAACAGCTTAAGGAAGTGACAAACCAGCATAATAGTTTATTGAATAGTGCACAAAACTTTGTTGAAAAATATGAAGATATTGTAAGCAATCATCAACAATATAGCAAAGCAGTAATGGAGTTACAAGAATGGGTTGATGCAACACACAACACAGTAGAATTATGGAGTGATTCAGAGCTGGAAAGAGTATCCCTACAAACCAACTTAGACAGACTAAAGAATTTACAGAAAAGCCTTCCTGATGATGAGCCACGAATTGAACAAATAAGAAAATTAGGTGAGTTGGTGATACCAGGTACTTTAGAATCTGGACAAGTAAATATTAGATCACAAGTCGATTCTTCACAGCAAGAATGGGAAAGTACAATATCGTCTGTGCAAAGCGCGATAGAATCATTAGAAAATAAATTACAACAATGGTCTGATTATGAGACCACTAAGGATGAGTGTTTCTCTTGGATACAATCAACTGATACTAAACTTCATGCAGTTGATCTGAAGGCAACATGCGAAGAAAAAATGAATCAATTAGAACAATTAAAATCAATACAAGGTGAAGTGCGAGCTAAAGAGTTGGAAATCGATAATGTCACCGAAAAAGCTCAACAGTTGTATAAGGGTACGCTTAATTATCGAGTTCCTCAAATTTCTGAATTAGGACTCAAATACCAACAACTTTCACAGAAAGTAAAAGAATTGACATCTCGTTGGCAGTCATATGCATCTAGTCATCAAGATTTTAATAATACTATTCAAGAGTGCATGCAATGGTTGATTGATATTAAAGACAAATTAACATACTGTTCAGATCTCAGCGCTTCTTCTCAAAAAGATTTAGAGTCTAAGCTCTCAACCATCCAAGATTTACTTTTAATTAAGGATGAAGGCTTTGCCAAAGTGCAGTCTATTGTAGAAATGGCACAAGGTGTGCTTGCTAATACTGCACCAGCAGGTCATGAGAAAATTAATAAAGATTTAATAAAACTACAAGAAGAATGGTCTATATTAGCACAAAAAATGATTGAAACGAAAGCTATGTTAGATGATTCAATAAATAAGTGGTCTGGCTTTTTAGAACAAATACAAGCTTTGAAGAAAGTTGTAGACTGGATGAACACCTCTTATAATGAAGCTTCTGAATTCCAATCTACCTACAGTGAAAAACGTACACAATTAGAAAAAATTAAATCGATCGAAGAAAAAGTTCGTTGCGAAAAAATCGAAATTGATAATTTGAAAGAGAAGGCTAAAGAAATGATAGAAAGTGGCCAACAGTCTCAAGCAGCATTCCAAGCTCAAGAAGTACTTAATAAATTTGATGACCTATCTGTAAAAATTAATAAGCTATTATCAGATCGTGAACAGCAATACAAAGACCATCGTGTTTATAAGGAAGCTCATGATGACTTTGCTCAATGGATGAATAGAGCCAGAGAAAAAGTACCATCATTAAAGCAAAGATCTCTCAGTGATAAGTTAGCAATAGAAAATGCTTTAACGCCTCTGGAAGCTTTGCTGAATAAAAAGGCTCAGGGAGAATTGCTGTTGGAACATATGCAACATACAGGTGAAGTAGTAATTGCTGCTACATCAAAATCAGGACAAGAAACAATACGCAATGAAATACGTGCTTGGAAAGAAAGTTTTGAAACATTATTTAAAGATATTCAAAAACAAAAGGATCAACTTGAAGCAACAATTATTCAGTGGCGTGAATACAAAGAAGAGTACGAAAGAATATCTGATTGGTTACAACAACTTGAAATTTTGATTAAAAATATCAAATTAAATCTGGTTGCAACACTTCCGGAAAAACAAAAGCAAGTCAAAGATATGAAAGATATTTTAAATAAATTAGTAAAAGGTCAAGAAGATATAGATACTTTCAATAAAACTGCTTCAGCTTTATTGACTTCACATTTGGATACTTATGTCAACAATCAATTACGGCATTTAAATTCACGATACCAGGTACAAGTTAATTTGGCCAAAGATATACTAAAGAAAGTTGAAACTAATTACGATCAACACAAGGAATATGAAACAAACTTGCAAAAGGCACAACAATGGATCGAAAATGCTAGAGACATTATTAAAGATAGTAGCGAAGCTTCAAGCGCTAGCTCAAAAGATTTACTTCAATCTCAATTGAATAAAATTCAAGATTTACTACAACGAAGGGAGGAAGGTCAAAACTTAGTTCATGCTACTGTAAATTGTGGCGAAAAAGTAATTCGTAATACTAGATCTGATGGAAAAGAAGTGATTCACAATCAGTTACGCGACTTACAAAATGATTGGGAAAGATTAGTGAAGAAATTATCTACCGCAAAAGTTCATTTGGAAACAAGTCTTTTGCAATGGGCTGATTATAGCTCAAGTTATTCACAACTACAACAATGGATAACAGAAAGAGAAGCTAAACTCCAACAAGTGTGCGAACAAAAGGTAGCTAAGTCTAAAAAAGGACAACCAGCAGGTCTCAGTTCCGGTCTAGGTGAACGCAAAGCAAACTTACGACAAACTAATAACATAGTGCAGGATATTGTTTCATTCGAGCCGATGATACAATCAGTAACATCAAAAGCATCAGACCTAATGCAAGGAGCACCGGCATCTGAAATATCAAATAAATATGAATCTTTGAGTAAACAAGCTAAAGATCTATATGCTAAACAAAAAGATACAGTAGAAAAGCACCAAGCTTTCATTGATGCCGCAAACGAGTTTGTACACTGGCTTCGAGCATCTAAAGAGAGACTGGGAAAATGCTCAGAGCCCACTGGCGACAAGGAATCGTTGTCAAGCAAATCTAGTCAATTAAAAGTGTTGAATAGCGAACTACCGGAAGGTCAAAAGAAATTAGAAAACGCTTTAGAACAAGGGGATATTGCATGCCAGATAGCAGATGATGAAGACAAGGACATCATTGAAGAAGAAGTTGCTTTGCTACAAGAGGATTATGACACCTACGTGTAAGTGTAATATTACAAATCTTAATTTTAATTTTTTTTAAAGCAAGACTATTTATTGTTTGTGTCATAGAATAAAAATATCTATTAGATGTTTTTTCCTCATGATTTTGTACTGAAATATTTGATGGCTTGAATGGAAATTATTTTGTAATTTGATGTATTTTATAAATGTCTCATTGCATAAACTTCTAATTCACGTTTTTCATATTTTAGCGAGGCACTTAACAACATTAAGGGTTTACTAGAAATAGGTATTGTTAAGTGGACAGAATACGAAGATCAATATAAAGAAGCCACTGATTGGTTGGTGAAGACTGAGGCCCTCGTACAGTCCTTCAATAAACTGCAGGACAGCTTAGAGGAGAAAAAGAACGTTCTGGAACAGTTCCAAGGACACCTGCAGACGCTATTTGACTGGCAACGTGAGCTGGATCGTCTCAATATGAGAGCACAAGTTTTGCTCGAAACTTGTGCAGACACAAGGATTAGCAATGGTGTGACCCAGCTCACCACTAAGTACAATGCTCTGCTGTCTCTCGCAAAAGAGATCATGAGGCGGCTGGAACTGCATTACCAGGAGCATCAGCAACATAATACTTTGTATGGTGAGTGCCAAGACTGGGTGGAAAGAACCCATGACAAACTTAATGAATGTCAAGAATGCCCTGGAACGCTGCAGGAAGTTAATAGTAAATTGAATTTGGTTAAAAACATTCGACAGAGTCTAGAACAAGGACAAAATAAATTACGCTATGCTCTAGAGTTGAAAGAACGTGTTATAATGAACACAGAACAAAATGGTGCTGCCAAAATTCAAGAAGATACAGAAAACCTTAAACAAGAATTTGATAAATTATTGGTTGATGTACAAGACATGAAACAAAAACTTACAAACAGAGCGGCGCAGCTTGAAGAAATTCACAAATTACATAAACAGCTTACTGAGTGGTTAGAGGAAGTCGAAAACAAAATTAATCTTCAAGAATCGCTTTTAAATGATTTGAGTGAGAAAAAGGCTGCTTTAGAAAAATATCGTACATTGCAAAGAGAATTTAGTAACAATTCAGAGCTTATTCTACGAATTAAATCTAAATTGGCAGATGATGATACCTTGGATTCCAAGGAATTTACACCAAGTTTGGATAAATATGAAAAATTACTTCAACATGTGACGGAATCTATTGCTAAATTGGCTGCTCAAGCTCAAGAACATGAAAATTATAAGAAAGCATTTAATGATGCTTATGAATGGATTCGAAAAGCTCGATATGATATACAGAGATGCGCTAGCACTCATGGAGAAAAACAAGAAATTTTGGATAAAATTCAGAATTTAGATTCTATTCGTTCAACACTACCACAGGGTAAGGAATGTGTAGATCAAACAATAGAATTGAGTAACTCTGTAATCAAGAATACAGGTAGTGAAGGTCAACATGTTATCAATGAAGAAATAAAACAACTGAAATCGGATTGGGAGACTATTCAAAATAATATTAAAGACTCTAATAATATTTTAAATGGCACAATCGATTCATGGAATACATTCACAAGTTTTGCCAAAAATTTGAAATCTTGGTTGCGTGACATGTCAGAGAGAGCACAAGAATATAATAATGAAAACAAGAAAACACCAGCAGATCTTAAACTTGTTAAAGTAAGTTATTTGTATTATTACTCATACATTATATATATATATATATATATATATATATTATGATATATTATAAAAGTATTATAATGATTTATAGCAATTGCTTGGTGAAGTAGTTGATCATCAACCTGTTCTGGAAGAATTATCAACATATTGCGAAGCTTTAATGGAGCAAAGTGCTTGCACAAGAGTAAGAGAAGAAGCTGTTGCAATACAAACTGAGTACTCCGATTTAATTACATTAATTCAAGGTAATTTTTTGAAGCAATTTTAACTTAATTATAGGTATTTGTTTTATTAATGCAATAACAATTTGCATATGAATGTAATTCTTGTTTTTTACAGGTTTGATGACAAAGGTCGAGAAAAGCTTATCAGATCACACAGAATTTCTTAAGTGTAAAAAGCATTTGGAAGAATGGTTGCATGATGCACATTCCATTATTCAGAATTGTTCAACACTCAGTGATGAAGATAACACTAAGCAACAATTGACACAAATTAATGTTAGTGGTATTTATTTTTGTATGTGTTTAAATGCGTTTTTTGCTAATATTTTACAATTTTTTCAGAATTTATCAATTAGAATAAGCGAGGGTCAAAATTTACTTTCTGAAATGCAAGATGCATTCACAAAAGCAATAGAAAGAACTCCAATAGAGAAGCAAGAGAACTTGAGAAATGATATGACAAATGCTCGAGAGAGCTGGGATAAATTATCTATGGATTTAGGATCAGTCACTGCACAACTTAAAGCTGCTAAAACTCGATGGGATGATTTTAATATCAATAAACAACAAATGGAAAAGTGGTTGTTGGGAATAGAGAATACTTTGAAATCTTCTCCTGAAACTAAGGGAGAACTTAGTGAAATAAAGACTTTGCTTGAGAAGTACAAGAATATCCAAGATGAAATTAATGGCAAAAAGACTGAAATAGAAAATCTAATGAAAGAATCTCAGCAGTTAAGTGCATGGGCTAAGAAACCTCAAATCACAGAGGAGATACAGAAGTTACATACTCGTTGGGAAAAATTATCAGATATTTGCCAATCTCATAAGAATTATTTAGATACAGAAATGAAAGATTATAATGCATATCATCAACTATTGCAAGATGTTGAGAAATGGTTGTTGCAAATTTCTTTCCAACTAATGGCACATAATTCTCTTTATATAACAAATAGACAACAGACTCAAGAGCAAATAGATCAGCATGAAGTTTTACTAAACGACATACAAAAATATCAATCTACTTTAGATGATTTGCGTACTAAAGGTCATTCTCAAATTGACAGATATGTCACTTCTGCCCCTGGAATTAAATCAACAATTGAGACTCAATTGAAAAACGTGCAAGATAGTTACAACTCGTTACTTAACACCTCAGTGCAGATAAGAAATAGATTGCAAGAATCACTAATGAAATTCCAAGAATATGAAGATACATTAGCTAGTATTAGTAATAAACTGGATATTTATGAACCAATTGTGACTTCAGAACTGGATGAGTCTGCTGATTCATTAGAAGCTGCTCAAGAGCAACTTGAGAAAGCACGAGACATTCACAACAAGTTACAAGCAGAAAAGGCCCGTTTAGCAGCTGCAGTGCAGGCATGCGAAGCAGCTACTGCTTCTATAAGTAGACCCAGTTCTCCTCTGGATGTTGCTGCACATCAAATTCCTCAGCAGGAACTCATTGTGAGGACGCGACTCGAAGATCTTATTGACCAGGTATTTTTGCTAGCTGATTATGAAATGTAATAATATTGTAATAATATTTGTTTGCATTATTTTGTTGAAACTAATACCTAAATAAGATAAATGTACACCATACCTTGCGTTGTTTCGTCTTGCGTTTTTTTTAGCACTTGCGTCACTGCTCAATTGGTATTAATATTCAATGTACGTCGTTAGATTTTTGCAGTTACTTTGCTTAGATTCGATTCCATTCATCCGTTCTCTTGATTGCGTTGTTTATATTGTTTGCATTTGGATCCATATTTTTAAATTTTTTTTAAATCTGAAGTTGACTGTCGTACAAGCATTGCCAATCTCGCGCAACTAAAAATTCTGTTATAACGAACGACGCTTCATTGAAACGAACGGTCACTGTCAAAAGAAACAGAAACGCCTAATCAAATATTCAAAGTGATGTGTTTTGTCGATAAATCTAAAATTTTTTAAAAGAAAAAAAAACATGTGGGAGCGGAAGTGATTTTTATATGTCCAACGATTTAGCTTTCAAGAAAACATTGGTCCAAGTTTTTGTAAAGGACTTTGTAACAGTCGTTATCTTTAATTTCGTTTTTCATAAATATAATTGAATAGTTCATTTCCTTTTAATTGAACCTCTTGTGGTATTTTGTGCGTATGTGACAATTAATATTATTTTGTGAACGTAATCATGACGCAAAGTCTGGTATGGGTATAATCAAAATTATTTTTTAAAATAATTAAAATTTCTATGTCATTTTATTTTTCAATTTGCAAAACTTTCGTATAGATGTTTTCATTTGTGTTTTGTGTTGTCAATTTAAATTTGTTATAAAGCATTCAATTTAGCGTTAATTATTGCTTATAAGTTTATAATATCGCTTTTTTTAAATGCATGGTGTTCTTGATTGTGGTTGCTTTTAGCCTAAAATAGCCAAAGAATTAGGAGCTGGAATATCACCAGAAACTAAGCACGCAATTTTGCCGCCAAAAACCGATTCATCGACACCATATGATAGTTTTCTGCACAAGCTCAATTTATTAACAGAGAAGGTATATTATTTTTGCTTGAATTGTGTTATATGATTCTGTAAATGAAAATATTAAATCATAACATTTACTGATAAAGTTTTATGCATATTAGGTGCAGTCACATCTCAGCAGTATTACTTCTACTGTTAATGAATTGGAAGAATGGGAAAAGCAACGTAATGATTTGCTACAATGGATTAATGCTCAAAAAATTGTTATATCTGATTGGATTTCTCGTCCATCAAAACTTAGACCAGAAGGTGCAAAACAAGAACTAGCAATGATGAATGATCTTCTAGTCACCATAGGCGAGAAGAGAAATTTACTATTAAATGATGTACCGTTATCTTGTGAGTACATACTTTTATTTTAAAAATTAATGTATAAATAAACGTGTTAATATTATAACATTTTGTTATTTGGAATTATAGCTCTTCAGGAAGGCATGCCTGATTTGGAGCAGGAATTAAATCAATTAGAATCAGATTTATCTGATGCAATAGTGAAAAAACAAACAGACAAAACTCTTATTGATGAATATAGACAAAAACAACAAGAAATGCATACGTGGTTAGATACCTTAATTAAGCGTATGGACATTCTAGACAAAGGTAGTGGTATGACATGCCCCCAGAAGCTTGTAACTATATTCGAGATAAAGAAAGAATTTGAAAGTGAGGGTCCATCGCGTCTCCAGAATATTAAACAGCTTGCTAATAATGTTATTGATGTAGTAAGCAATCTAGATTCTCAACAAGTTGAGGAACAACTTAAATCCATCGAAAGAAGATATGGTGAAATGTCCAAACGTCTAGAGCGAAAATCACAAGTTTTGGAAATGGCTAATAAAGGCATTGAGGGCGTCAAAGATGAAATTGAACAAACACGTTTATGGGTTGTTCAAAAAGATCAAGAGTTACAAAATCCAGCACCAATAGGATTTGATAGTAAAGCTGCAGAAGATTATCGACAAACTCTTAAGTCTACATTAAAAGATGCGGAAATTAAAAACGTTTTGCTGGATTCAATTGAAAAGAAAATTTCGAACATGCAAAATGAATTAGAACCTGTTGAGCAATCACAACTTGAAAGCTCTTTAAGAAATGTCCAAACTGACCTCAAAAATTTAATTATAAAATTAAAATCTGAAGTTGATGCCGCTAATACAGCAGTAGAATCCAGAAAGAAACTGGAGTTCGATGTTGAGAATGCTCGTTCATGGATAAAAGCAAGGACTTCGGAAGTGCGTAAACTGGGTGGATATTTACCACTCAAAGCTATTGTGATAGATAAAGAAATTCAGCAGAGTAAAGCACACGAACAAGATATTAATAATTTTAATGCAACTACTTTAAATGATGTATTTAAATTAGGCAATAGTATCATTCGAGAATGTTCAGAGCCAGATAAAAAGCGTTTGCAAGACTTATTAAATACTGTCAGTGAGGAATATGACGCATTAAAACGCGAACATCAAGCTAGACTTCATTCATTGACTGATTTGTTGCAAAATCGCAAAAACTTTGAAGCTGATGTAGAAAAATGTCAGCATTGGCTAAATGAAGCAGAAGTTGCTACATCCGGTGACATTAGAACTAGTTCAATTGAATTGCTAGAAGAGCAATTAGCTAAATATAGCAAGTTATTCGACGAAGCTGATAATATGTCCCATCAACTTGATGGTATGACAGAGCAAGGAAAGTCTATTTTAGGCACAATAAGTGATCCTGATAAATTAGCTCTGACAGAATTATTGAAGAACTTAAAGGACAAACATGGTAGATTGTATGCTATAATTAAGGATCGGGCCAACTTACTGAAAGACAATATTAAAGAAAAGCAGGACGTGACTGCTAAAGTCGCTGAAAATGTAGAATTTATGAATGAAATTCGTAAAGAGCTTAGTGAATTGAATAAACCAATCGGTAATAAAATAGAAGATGTACAAGGTATTTTACATTCATACGAGAAAATTTTATCTGACCTTAAATCTAATAAAGCTAAATTAGGCGACTTATCGAGTAGTAAAAATCCTGAGTTGCAATCAATTTTACAACAACAAGATGATTTGATTCGGGCAGTTGAAGATCAAATAGCCAGATTGCGTCAGTTACTTTTATTACGAGAGCAATACTTAGCTTTAATCAACGAATTATAACATTTATAATGAAATATACAACGGTTATCACAGATATAGAAAAAGGTGGACATACAGTAGAAGAAAAAATCAAAAGATACGACGATGTTATTGTGAAAATTCAAGAATGTGAGGCTACATTATCTTCGGCTACAGATAAAGGTCGTCAAATTGCTGAAGAAGGAACTGCGGCAGATAGAAATGCTATTACTGAACAATTGCAGTCGCTCAAGCAGCAACTCCAAAATCTTCGTCGCGCTATGGAGAAGCAACGTCAACAACACGAGGTTGCGGCGGCAGAACACAAAAAAGCTGCAAGCGAATTGTCTTCCATTCTTGATTGGCTTCATGAAAACGAAGCAACGGTTAGATCTCGACCTCTTTTGGAAAGAGACGTTGGAAGTGTTGATCGTGAGATTAAGGCTCATAAGGATTTAGACAAAAAAGTTCGTGAACATCTAGCAAGTGCTCGTAGAATCTCAGATTCATTGAAACATGATGATGGTATGCCTGGGTCATTGATAGAGATGCTATCGGAAGCGCAATCACTTATGGACGCGTTGCCCAGAGAGTTAGATGAAAGAGCAGAATATTTAGAGAAGAATCGCAGAACTCGCGGTGACTATGTCGAACTCGTAGAAAAACTGAATGCCTGGGTAGCTGAAGCGAACATAAGGCTTCGAACTGGCGAAGATGGAGTCGATTTCGAAAATATTGGTACCGATCTCGAAGAACATCGTATTTTCTTCGGAAACGAAACAAACATTCGTGATTTAGTATCGCAAAAAATACAGCAGGCTGCTGATAAAGTTTGGCCTTCACTTGGTTCAGTGGAGCAAGAGGAACTGTCGAGGGAGCAGCAAGATCATAGACAGTTGTTGAAAAATACGTTAAATTCTGCACGTTCTAAGCAAGCACGTCTGGAACAGGATGCTGAGACTTGGAAAGATTATAAACAGGTGTTGGAAAGAGTGCGCGCTGCTTTGGAGAGGTCGAAAGTGGATGAAGAGAGTGTGGACACCTTGGCAGGAGTGCATTACAGTGCAGAGAAAATTATTCATGTGCTAAATGATCTACAGGTGAGTTTTTTTTTATTTATTTATAATTTATTTATCAAAATATTAAGTCATTGAACTTACATTTAATTCTGTGCGTTGAAAACTAGACGTAAGTCGAATTTTGCCTTAAGGGGAGTTGCATGAGTTTCCCGGTCTATGAAAATAATCAATTTAATCAATAAGAATTAAGTTGTAGCAATGTTTATTGCAAGTTATTTCAAAGTATAATGATTTTTATAATTAAGCCATTTTTGGAAGGTCTATAATATTTAGAACATGATCATTCTATATTTATAAAATATTTAGAACATAGATCGATCTATGCAAAATTTAATTGAATTCGTCAAAAAACTTTTTTGACCATTAATATTCTATATTATCGAAGAAACGACTCGGCCGATCTTTACCAAAAATCTATTCCCAACAGTTTGGTGCACATCTCTCGTTTTAAAAATCTTTTAGGAATTTTAACGAAAACGTTGACGAAAAATTAAGCATTTATCTGCTATTTACAAAAAAGCTCAACTGATCGTTTAGCAAATGTAATCAACAATAGTTCTTATCGATTTTTATAAAATAGCTTTTCTGACGGAAACAAACTTCTATTACAGGAAGTTGAAATGTACATTTTGTAAGAAAATATTTTTAAAAATTATTGAGTAATTTAAAAAACATTTTATAATTATTTCAGCCTATCCCAAACTTTTCTCCATTGAATATGTTTTGTTTTACATAATAATTATTATGTAAATTTAAATTTCTCAAGTAATAGTTTAATTTAATTTTGACCTAGATAAACAATTATTATCAGCCATAATTCGTCAGATTGTCTCTACAGATTGCACAATCATAAATGCATTTATCGATGATAGTGAATATGCTCTTGCAATTATCAATCATATTAAAACCATTACACATGCTCAATGATGCATGTTATATCCTCCAACGCATTTTCCATGGAAATCTCGTCCGTTGTTCCACACGATGCCTCAGTCTAGTCTAGTAACATTGCCTAAAGGTCACAGTTGACAATGTTCTACGTCTCGTGAGGTAAACATGTAGATTTCAAATATTTACTGCATTCGGCACTCTTGATTTCAATGGCGAATCTCTTCCAGAATGAGCGGTGATGTCATATGAATTATTGCGTCATAGACAAGACTATTCAAGCGAGTTTGCTTTGCTGATTATTTATTATACTTATACATATTTAAAATTCTGTACGTATGTTAGACGATAATCAAAATGCGGTGACTTGTACTGTAGGATATTCGGTTTTACATTGTTTTATGAATGAATTTTTTAATAACAATTTACTTTTGTCGATCAAAACTGATATAAAATTTTTTATAAAAAAATATACAACGAATTGAAGAATGAAATGAAAATATTTTGATTATGCATTTTTTATGAACATGACATAGTGTTTACTAGTTCGGTACTCTCTGCTAAATGGTAAA